GGATACCATTATTGCTTGAGTGGTAATATATTCATGTGGTAAAGCTCCCCCCACCCCACCCCAGTGACTGTTCAAAAACATTCTTCTTTATAGGTTTGAATTATTATTTATAAATTTATAATTTTTGGGGAGATTTTTAATATGTTTCTAGATTTTTCTTGAAATTTAGAATCTTACCATTTCAAGAAATTTGCACGTTTTTGAATATAAGAGGAAATCATTTTTTTCTTTTTTGGAATCTTTCCTGCCTTTTTGTTGTTATTACCTCGCTCAATAAGCCAATACCATGTCAGTTTTGGGGGGAGGAGGGAGAAGGGACAGGTGTCCCAGTTTCATCAATGAAAGTGGAGCATAATTCTTACATGACTAAAAAAGAATCTTTACTATTAAAGAAGAGTATGTGGTCATAATGGTGCACCTTGGTATGTCGTTCCTATGTTGTTGCTCGTCCTCCAGCCTCCTCGCAAGCAAGTGCTCGGGAGATATGTTGGGTGTATCCTGATCAACCAAGCCATGAAACAAAGTCCCAAAGTCATTGCCCAGCATCGCACGGCCTTACCATCACGATCACGTTCACCATCTTCGGTCTTGCGTTGTCGCTCACATATCTTCCAACACCATACTTGAAACCTAATGTGCATGTAATCTTTGTGTTTCTTCTTCATTGTGTGTCCCATGGTAGCTGCTAGGCCCCTGGTCGTGTTGTCCCTAGTTTTCTCTGATGCACCCATTCTCCCTCATCACAGTGCAGTAAAATCCTCCCCCAACCTCCATTATGTCTTGGAATAAGGTGGTGACGCGCGAGGAATGGGAGCGGAAACTACGCGGTGTCGAGGTCCGCAAGGAGGACATGAATTTCCTCGTCACGTTCGCTTTCCTCGATGCCTCCAACAGGTTCTGTGTTGAGTCCTGATACCCAACATATTCTATGCCCACGTGCTTAAATGGATCCCCTATTACTCCTTCGTTCTCTGAAGCGGGCATTGGGCTCTAACTGATGTTCTGTTCATAGTAGACATTGACCTACTGACCATCACCAACCGGATGGAGGTGAAGATAGTGGCTCAAACGAGGAAAGTTTAGTAGGCTATCGAGAAGAATAACGATCTTAACCCCCATGGTTCTGTTCTGGATCTTTTTCTCCTAATTTTATTTTTCATTTGGGCCTTTGGCTATCAGAATAGTCGATGGAGGCGCAATAATCTTGCAATTTTAGGTTACTTTGTTGTATGCATCTAATGATCTACTGGATTCTCCACCATGTTTGGTGGTGAGCGGTATGTAAGAAAAATTAATTTTGCATCTAAAATACCCCATAGCATAGTGGAACAAAATGTTAATCCGTCACTGATGATCGATGTGGCTTGTCTTTGGACCATTCCTTTTTTTATGAACTGTTCTTTTTCTACATGGAACATAGGTACATGTGTATGAGAAACATCTTTATTTGAACGAGAAAACTGTATTTTCTCCTTCAAGTCGTATAATGATATTGTTTGTATATTGTTGTCAAGTTTTGTATTATTACTACTCTAAAGCATGTGTAGGGTTTTATTGTGCATATTTTTCTACAATGGGGTTAGGCCACCGTCGGAATCGGGATTCCGCGGATCCAAAGAAAGGTTCGAACACTGAGGTGCGCAAGAAGAACCTCGCCAAGCCTCTGTTTTCCGCTCACAATCTCACAGCGATGCTTCGTCGAGCTCGTGCGAGAAGGGAGAGAATCGGACACGGTGCTTTACCCAGGTTCGGGCCACCTTGCGGTGTAAAACCCTACTCCTGCTTTGTGGTGGATTGCCTCGCGAGGAGGATGAGTATGAACTGGTACAAGGGATGAGCCGCCTCGCAAGGGCTCAGGGGGGTGAACGGATCGGATCCCATCTCTACGATGGAGACTAGCCTATATTTATAGTAGCCTTGGCCCTCTTCCATCATGGTTTCGGCGGGAAGGGATACCACAGTGGGCAATTTTGAAGGGGAACAGGAGTACACCCTATTCTGGTAGTCTTCGCATGCAAAGCTTCTGGTCATCACGCAGTGGTGGGCTCGGCGATGACCTCCGTCCTGCCGAGCCAGCGGTCCTAGTCTTGTTGCACCAGAATGGAAACATTTGAGGGATTCCTTAGCACCAAAAAGGAAACTGTCCTCTCATGCGCCCGCTGGCGCCCTCCTGGCCTTGGTCGTCATGCCTCACGTCACCGCACGCCTCGCGAGGTGGGTGCAAGCCTAGAGATATCCGCTCCTCGGGAGGCATACTCGGGAGGCCGCCCCTCGGGAGGGCTCGTCCTCGTTCGCCTCGCAAGGCGGGGGCCCTCGCGAGGGTCTTGCTCGTGAAGTCCTGGAGTTGGGACGCGCCGGGCCGTCGATGGAGCCACGCGCTGGGCCGTGGGCAAACAGGTCTGGGTGTTCGTCATTATTATCATGCTTAGATAGTAAGCAGCGACAGGGAGCAAATAGACAAGACCCTCATTGTCAGCGGTGGATGGGGGTGATGTGGAGGCGGCAAGGATAGACTCTAGGACAACATTTATCCAAACAAAGTCATAAGCTGTATGCCACGTGCATGTTCCTTGAAATTGGCTTTTGCCTCTCTTTATAGATAAAGCAATCACCAAATCCATACAACAAGTTCAAGTGTGAGAAAATTAAAAAGTCTATTGGACCAACAACACAAACATGCCCTACTAAAATGAGGAGAAAAGGCCACCAGGTGGCCAGTAGCTCAGCGGCTATGAAGCATAGTAAGGCGGCGAGCTACCAAAGTCATCGCATCCATCAGGTTGCCAAGTCGGTCCCAATCCTGTTGCCTAGAGAGCGGGTCCCAGTGCTGCAAAAAGGCGACAAATTTAAATATAGAGTCAGCGGCTCTATGCAGGAAGACCAGCTCAATCATCATCTTGTTACGAGTCGTCCAGAGAATCCAAGTCAACACTGCGAACACTAACCAAAAGAGGTGTCTCCTTCTCCTGGACTTGTTGGCTCGAGTTTTGAGAAACCCTACCGGGTCCAGGGCCTCCTAGTCAGGTCCCAAAGCCCAACTGACAAAACACCAAAGCAACCGAGCAACTATGCAGGCGAAGATGATGTGGGTCCCATTCTCCGGGACCACAAACAAGAAATAGTCCCATCGTCATTCCTGTTCCGCTAGAGCATCTCCGTCCGTCTCCGATGAGAGGTGATCACGTAGATGCTCCCACACGAAGATCTTGATCTTCAGAAAGGGGCGCTTTCCCAAGGGTGCCAAATGCGTGGTATGCAACGTACATCTCGACATTCTACGTGCTCACAAAGTCATTTCACGAAAAAATAAACGACAACTTTTGTGTAGCCGTGAGAAGAAGACAAAATTCAGTGTTAAAAAGGGCTTTTCATGAGACATCTTTTGTCATTTTTATACAAGCCAAAAAAAATTGTTTTCCGTGACGTATAGAATATGAAGATGTATGCATCAATTTTTTGTTCAAAATCTTTTGACATTTTGAAGTGTTATTTTCCGATGTCGGGAGCATATGATCCCATGTGCCAAAGTCAATTTCTGGGTTTACCCCAACCTTTGCATCAGGCGACACACATGGCTTTTTTTTAGGATACACAGAGCCATATTTATTAAATTCAGAATAGGTAATTTTTGAAAAGAAAGAAGGGTTTATCCCTGGCCTTTGCATCAGACGATAGCCATATTTACTAAGTTCAGAGTAGAACAGGTATGCTATGGTGTGTAGATTAATGAAGCGGTGTTCTCCCTCCTTTTGGGAAAAGATCGATTACTACCTAGAACATTCCATCAGGAAATAAATTTATTCCACTTTATAAGCTTAGATTCACCCTTTGCTGGGAAGGCATATGTTTTGCGTGTTCATTTGGGTGCATGGTCAGAACTGTAGGCTGACAGTGAATTGGAACAATCTTTTTTGACAATCAAGAGTTGGAAAATTCAATTTTGCATGCTTTCCCCAGTTGCAAAAAGGAAAGAAAAAAAAAGATAACGATGATCAGGTAGGACAGAAGAGAAGGCTCGAGACTGACAGGGATGTATATATCGAAGATCATAAAGCGGCAGCATAAAGTTGTAACTCGGGCTTATCTACGCCTTGGACGTGAACGATAATTTGCACAGTATATATGAATATCATCCATCAGTACCGTACATGCACAAGTTCACCTTCTTGGTATCATTTTTCCCCAGCGCTGTGAGAAGACCGATATATCTAGTAATCTAGGCATCATGTCGTCGCTGGAGTGCAGATGCTAATATGAGATGATGGAATCACATGACGGTGCAAGCGGTAACGTCCTCGTCGTTGAACATGTTCATGTACTTGACCTCCGGCGCGGCCGGGTCGGCCATGGCCTGCGGCACGTTGCGGACCAGGCCCGCAGGCGCCTTCTTGTCGTAGGAGCCGCCGACGTAGGGGTAGGTGGCCACCGTGTAGGGCACGTACGGCCACATATCCGCCGTCGTCTTCCCAGTCCTCTTCACCCTCGCCAGCACCTTGCGAGGCTCCACGTACCCCGTCACAGTCACCTTGCTGATCTTGCGATTCACCACCACTGCCGTCACACCTTTGGCATATGCATATGAACGTTCACCAAATGAATATATGAACTAAATGTTATATTTTCTATCCTCAAAATAAAAAATATATCTTCAAAAGAAAAGAGTTAGATCGTTTGGTTTGACGTTTGAGATCGATATAGGTCACTATGTGTATATGTACCCCGAATCGATTTGACGGCGCTCTTGACCCTCCTCTCGCAGCCCTCACAGTCCATCTTCACCTTGATGTTCACCGTCTGCAGATGGATAGATAGAAGAAAACTCCAGTTAATCACACGTTTCTGGCAGCATGCATCGTTCTGATGATGAAGACGCTGCGGGATAACCTCTTTTTTGAAAAAAAAAAACACGTTTCTGGCAGCTCAATTAACAAAATGACTAAAAAAAACATATTGACCCCTTCACAAGATCAGAAGGCCATCTTCGGAAGATGGAACTGCTTCCGATCGATGAACAAACCTACACCAAAAAATAGAACACAAACGTGCTTGAATTCCACAATCCTCACCGTCAGTGGCCGCCTTTTCTTAATCCTGATGGCTTCCCTTGTATGTGTCAAGTTGCATAGACGGGACAGGTGATCCAAGGCGCCCATGATCTGATCTAACTCAACTTTTGCTTCCAGCAAGAACCACTGATGAACCGTTCTTGCGCTTGTCTCTACTGCGAAGGCCAAGTACAGAACCTTAGGCGATGGAAGGGGCCATATATATACCCAGGAGAAAGAAGAGAGACAAGGACAGCGTGCCTAATCCTGCATGGTTAGGGTTGGTGCAAGACACGGCGAGAGTGATTAAACCTCAGAGATTTCGGACTAAATAAAGTGTGTTGGGCAAGAAAGCATTTCTTTTCCTAGGATGGGACATGCCATGCCCCCCGCAGCTCCATCCCGCGCGAGGTGCCCTGAGCGTGACACCACCCCAATCATGCACTCAATCAAGACAAGGGGATAAAAAGTCCTGCCAAGGAAATGGATTTGCTTTTCTATCGAATCATATTCTTCGGATCGTTCTGAAAGGGCTACATACCTAACCCGAATTCAAATCTTGACTTGTGATCTACTTGCCAAAATTATGCACTAAAATCTGGCATAAAATGGTGATATAGCTAGGTTAGTAGTAGTATGTTCTTGACTGATGCGCCGGGTTTTTCACGTTACAGTACGATGTTGATTGCTTTGTTCCTTCTCGGGTTTGCATCGCGCCGTAGTTTTCAGCCTCTTTGCAAGGTTCTCCACTCTCGTCTGCTTTCAGTTTACACTTTACAGTGGATTCGCCCATCTGTCCCACTTTATATTACACTTGCGTCTACCTTCGCTGCTCCTTTCAAGTTCAACACTAGATGCATGAATGGCGTGTGCATGTCACAAATTTCTCTGCTGCATATGCGGCTGCCTTTGGGAAAGAGGGGATATCTTATAGTTACATGGCGTCACTGATGATCTGTTCCATGAATCGTGATCCATGAAGAAAAACTAATGAAGCATCCTAGGACTAACATATAGCATTGATAACTGGAGTACAGCCAAGTGTGTAGGTTTTCAAAATGCATATTCAAGCATCACGCCATCATTTTTTATTTTTATTTTTGAAAAGGAGGAGTACCCCCTGCCTATCCATCTCTTGATGCACACAGCCATCTTATTAAATAAATCAGGTCCAAAACAAAGCCTTAAACAGTAGTACGGCAACTCTAAATAATAAATTTGTCACAACCAGGGAAAAATCGGGAAGGATGAATAAACACCTATTCTATTGGACCGTCATCCAAACCGGTTGTAAGTATCCAGTGCAACCATCTCCCATCGGTTGCACCCAATATTCATATACTCTCTATGGTCCACATGGCCGAGTAACGACCACATATAGACCCAAGTAGACGCCCTGAAGATAACCTGCAAAATATTAGTGATGGTTTGTCTGTTAAAGGCAACATCACTCCAACAATTCCATATGGCCCAAAGTAATGCACATACTCCAACTCAAATATGTGTCGCGGTCTTAGGCTCTATCCGAGTTAACCAGGTTCCAAATAAATGTGAGATCAAGACTAGCGAAACAACGTTAAAAGCAATGTGAATAGTTCTCCATGGTAACTTGGCAAGTGGGCATTGGAGAAAAAGATATTTTATTGTTTCATCCTAATCACAAATGTTGCATCTTTTGCTTCCTTCCCAACTATGTGTGGCCAAGTTAACTTTTGTCAAAATTACTCCCTTATGCACAAACCACATAAACACCTTGATTTTCAAAGGCAGCTTAACTTTCCAAATGTGTATTGTCCTTGGAACAAGTCCAGTGTTAATCAAATTCATATACATAGATTTAACCGAGAATACTCCTGACGCGGACAACTTCCAATATAAGGAGTCTGCTGTATCAGAAAGGTTAACCTCCATTAACCTATGCATGAGATGTAGTCATCTATCCGATCAATCACCCAGTAAAGACCGTCGGAACTGAATGTTCAGAGGAGCGGATCCCAACACTGTACCAACAAAAACCTCTTTTCGTTCTATAATGTTATATAGGAAGGGAACTGCAAGGCTAATGGAATCTCACCCAACTAGGTGTGCTCCCAAAACCTAGTACCCTGTCCATTCCCTACAATGAATTTGCTCATGTTAAAGAAGGCAACCTTTGTCCTCATAAGCCCCTTCCAAAAAGGAGAGTCAAGCGGTTGTGCCGTCACTTGAGCCAGCATTTTAGAATGTAAATATTTATTATGCAGCAGCTGAATTCAAACCCCGTCCCTCTCTACCGTCAACCAGTAAAGCCATTTGCTAAGTAAGCACTTATTCTTCACCTCTAGATTTTCAATACTCAATCCACCTTGGTCCTTCGGTCTACAGGTAATGTCCCATTTGGCCAACCTATATTTAGTTTTGTTTTCATCGATTTGCCAAAGTAAGAAAGATCGATAAAGATCCAATATTTTCCTTACTACTGCTGGTACTTCAAAGAAGGAAAGGAGGAACATCGGCATACTCATGAGCACCGAGTTTATCAGAACCAGTCTCCCTCCATAAGGTAAGAGTTTGCCCTTCCAACAACTCAATTTATTTTCAAATTGATCTTTGATACACTTCCACTCTTTATTGGTGAGTTTGCGATGATGAATTGGGATCCCAAGTAAGTAAAAGCTAAATAACCTAGTTCACAGCCAAACAACTGTTTATAATGATCATGTTCTTCTTTGGCGCGTCCAAAATAAAACAACTCACTCTTATTAAAGTTGATCTTCAGCCCAGACAGTTGTTCAAAAAGGTATGGAGCTAGTTTCATGTTACTTGCCTTAGCTTGATCATGTTCCATGAAAATAATAGTGTCACCTGCATATTGTAGAATGGATACCCCCATCCACCAAATGTGGGATGAAACAACCTACACGGCTGTCCTCTCTCACTCTGTTCATTAGAACGGCCAACATATCAATGACGAAATTAAATAAGATCGGAGACATCGGATCTCCCTGTCTCAACCTTTTTGCGTCTGGAAGAAATGACCGATATCGTCATTAACCTTGATTCCAGCATTGCCTTCATGTACAAATGATTCGACCAACTTCCTCCAAGCCAGAACAAACCCTTTAATACGCAAAGCCTACTATAAGAATGGCCATTTCACTTTATCTTAAGCCTTTTCAAAGTCCACTTTGAAGACCATTTCATCGACTTTATTCGAATGGATTTCGTGCAAGGTTTCATTTAGGACGACCACTCCCTCGTGAATGTGGCATCCTGACATGAAAGCAGTCTGAGTTGGCTGAACAACAGAATGCGCAATCTGTGTCAGGCAATTCGTACCCACTTTAGTAAAAATCTTGAAGCTCACATTCAGCAAACAAATCGATCTAAATTGCTCAATGTGAATCGCTTCCTCCTTCTTTGGTAACAAGGTGATTGTTCCAAAGTTCAATTTAAATAATTTTAAATGGCCATTAAACAGATCATGGAATATAAGCATCAAGTTGCCTTTAATAATATCTCAATATTTCTTATAAAACTCTACTGGGAAGCCATCCGGACCAGGTGCTTTGTTATTTTTCATTTATGAAATAGCCTCGAGCACTTCCTTCTCTGAAAACAGGGCACTGAGAACCTCGTCCTCATCATCTCCCAGTTGAGAAAAGGCATCACCCCATCATGAACACAAGTTTGTCCCATCCACTCTTTTTTCGAGAAATTTCTGCCTTATATTTAACTAGATATGTTTATAGGCATATATAAAGCATCGTGGGGGTTTAACTGACAAACATGGTGTCCATTGCAAGGAGAAACGAGCTAAGTTATTTTTGATAAAGGATGCTTTTATTAGCTCAAAATGTAGTATCAAGAGGATAGCACACCGAGTGATATGTACCCAGCTTCTGCATAGCTACGATGTACACAAGAAAGTAAATAAAACGATATATATGATGGCAGCAATCAAGTTATAGAGACCAACACTATGCTTATGTGGAAGGAGGAGGTGGACTGATCCGAAGATTATGCTGCCATCCATGTTGGTAAAAAAAATTGGCCATCCGGTTCAACCACATACACATCGTCTTGAATAGCGACTTGGACTCCGTTAGGAGTAGCATAGATCACATACAAAGCCAATATGTACAACATAAAGTAACTTGCAAAGGAGAATTTTTTGCCATTAAAAATAATATCAGTTTTACATAGCCAAAGCTACCATAATAAGATAGACGATCTCACCATCGCTAGTGTGTTAAACCTATCAGATATTTCGTGAAGCAAGTGGCTATATACATTTACAAGACTTATGGGTGATTACAAATTGAACGTTGTTTGGATGACTGACCATGTTGAACACACAAACTTGCATTGGAAGAAGAGGTGTTTGATTTTCGATACAAAAGCTACACTTCTTGTTTCCTTGCAGTTGTGATGAGTAAGGTTGTTTTTAATGAGCATAACTCCCCTTCGAAGATGCCACATGAAAATCTTAACTTTTAATGGTATCTTTGATTTCCATATTTGTTTATTATTGCCCACTGAAATCTCTGAGTGCATGAAGGCAAGGTACGTAATCAATTGTGGATGATCCAGATGCAGTGAGATTGCAAGAAACACATTCCATCCTTGTGTTAGGTAAGCTTATTCCAAATAGGATAACACATGTTGCCATGACACAAGATAGGGGCTAACCAAATCCCGCCTAAATGATACATTCGGCAGGGAGGAGTTGAGCACGTGCGCAACAGTATTATTCTTATCACGGAAAATATGGTACATGGACGGATACTATTTTTGGAGAGTGGTGTTTCATGACCACTTATCCTCCCACAATAGTGTCTTAGAGTCGTGGTTTATCACGAAAGGTCCAAAGAGAAAAAGATACTTCTTTGTCATTGTCGGGCACGACAAAAAATACTGGTCTCCAGGCTTTCAATATGCCTGGGGACACCGCTTTTTGGCTTGGATACCTATTGCGTGCGTAGCAGGGTTTTAAATGCCCTCCTCGGTAAGTAGCTTGAACACCCTCCTCAAAAAGCCAAATTGGGCGAGGGAGGGCTTCATGGGCCAGCCATGTAAGTGTTATATTAACAATTCCACGATTTGACCATGAAATAAGAGCTCCCAAAGGGCTCATACAATCACCACCGACTGACACCGAGACCGAAGCGTGTAAGGACAACACCACGCACCGAACAACTCCGCTTTCCTCTCTGAAAAAAATAGCGTCTGTAACAGCGATACAACAAGATATACGAATGAAGAATACAACATCCGAACATAATTAAAACCTAAGCCAATATAGACAAAGCAAAATAAAAACCCAACCACAATAACCTGCTAGAGAAATAAGAGTTAATTCCATAAATGAAGAATGGTGCGGTGAAGCGCGCATTAGCCTCTAGTAAAGTTACTAAGATCCCAAGAATTGAAGCTCTTCTAGTAAATCCGGGTTGTACGAGACTGGGTGGGCCCATTTGATAGGGGATAATAAGTTGAGCCACGGATTAACACAAATGTATTACAAAACATGTAAACGCAACGGCAACACCGTAGATTAACACAAATGTATTACAAAACATGTAAACGCAGCGGCAACACCGCAAGAGCTATGTCTCGCCTGTACCAATTCCTATTAGGAATCATCTATGGGTGAGTGACTATTGGGTCGACCTATTAGCGTTCGTCGATCGTGTCGTTGTAGGTTCGTTCTGCTCCGGCTTTCTACAGATTTTTCTTTGTTATTTTCTTTTGTTTTTTCTTTGTTTCATCGGTTTTCTTCTATTTTCTCTGTTTTTCTTTGTTATACTTTGCTTTCCTTTTCTTTTCTTTGTTTTTTATCCTTTTTTTCTTATTTTTGAATTTAAAGATTGCATTAAAAACGGGAATTTGTTAGCTATATCTTTGATAACTAACAATTTCTTTCAATAACTAGCAATCCCTAAATTGTGACGTGACATATTTGTGCTAAGAAATCAACTCTTAGATAAAAATAACTATGATTTCTCTCTCCTCCACCCCCACATTAACACGTGGCACTCCTTCTGGCCCATATGTTAGCCAACTACTACATGCTGGCCCATTGCCACCTGAGCAGTATTTACGGTTTGAGCTAACACTATTATGATTCTCAAAAAAAGAAAAACTAACACTATTATGCCATGGTTTTGTGTTCATTGTTTCTGTTGTTCGATGCCTTCGTTCCAAAGTTGAATATTGTATTGGTATCCTCTTTTTTTTGTCGTATTTGCTTTGTTTTCTTCACATAGTATTTGTAACTTTGTTTTTCCTCCGGTAGTAATTCTGTATTGGTTTGGGGGTTTCTGTATTCGTTTCACTTTGTGCAAAACGTTTCTGTATTTGTTATCAGTAGTATTGTTGTGCAGAAGGTTTATGTATTCTTTACAGCAGTATTTGTTGTTTCCATAAGTATATGTTTTCGGATTTGTTTCCGGGGTCCTGTACATTAATTTCGGCTTCTTAGAAATATGAAAGCAAATGTTGTTTTCGCTGAGTGCTTGCTAATCTTTTTAGCAATCTTTGGAAGTGAAGAGAAAATCTTAAGAGTAGACTATGGTTTGCCTCCTCTAATAAAGAGTTTGTTGATTCATTTGATCCCTTCTAACTCTACATCCTCGGTTCCTCGCTCCGCCACTGCCTATGACTGTTATTCGGAAGTCCATCATTCTTCGAACACTCACTCCATTTCCAAGAGGAAAAACAAAGGGGTGGGAGACAATTTATTAACTACCCTATCTCCAGCTATCACACACCCATCTCTCGGACACGTACGAGAACACGCCAAGGGCAGATCAGGTGAAAATCCTGGCTCCAGTATTGGCAGCCGGAAGATCGACCTCGCGGATCTCCGTCTTCAAGCCCTTCCCAGCAGCGTTGGCCAGCGGGTGGATGCCGTGCGCCGGCCCGCTCATGTACGCCCGGTTCTCCCTCTCCTTCTCGAACGACACGCTGAACTTCTTCTCCACACCTGCACCCACATAATACTAATCAGTAAGCCAACACTGACACTAGGTGAACGAAAATCACGGTGAACGCGCGGCGCGCTTACAGTCGGCGAGGTCCTGCCGGAGCTGGCCCTCGCGGGTGAGCGCCATCATGATCTGCGGGAGGCCGAGCGGGAGGGCGTCGCCGCGGTCGACCTGCCAGAAGTGGACGGTCTTGCCGTACGTCTTTGCCACCTGCTCGAGGTCGCGGCGCTCGACGACGCCGGGGACGCCGGGCATAAAGAGCACGCCGCCCTTGACCTCGAACTCGTGAGTGTGCCACAGCGGCTTCTCCTCGTCGGGCAGCGTGAGGAACAGCTCCTCGGTGACGATGTACTCGACGCCGATGAGGCGCGCGCCGGCGTCGGGCCCGTCAAAGACGAGGCACTGCCGCACGTCCTCGTTGAGGTGCGCGCAGAAGTGGTGCGCCTCCACCTGTCGCGTCATGTCGTCCCCGTAGAAGTGGAAGGCGCAGAGGTGTTGGTGGATCTGGTTGATCGGGGCGAACCCCTGGATGGCGCCCGTCGCCGCCTCCAGCAGCGCCGTGCCCGTCTCCGTCGGCTTCCCCGGCACGTCCACGTCGTGGCACGACGCCGCCATCTTTGATCCTGTGCAAGTTTTGTGTGTTGGGGTACTGGTGGGCTGGTGGCTCGGGTGAGTTCGCTCGAATCTGGAGCGGTGCGGGCTGGTTCGGCTGTTTTTAAGGCGTGGGTAGGCTCATGCAGTTGCACACGTGTGATCCTTGAGGTGGCGCGTGTCCGTGGCAGTCCACCTACGTGTTGAGAAGCGGCCACGAGAATGCGGATGAAGGGACACGCATGAGAGAAGCTGCTAGTTCTGGACAAGGACACCAGAGTTGTCTAGCGCACTATGTATGGCACGTGGAGCGGTGACACAAGACGCAGTTCAACGATGGAGAATGTAATTATGTAATTGCAGTGTACTCCAGGGACTGCCATGTCACGCATCACACGCACCGTGCAAAATCGTATAGATCACAGTGGCAGCAGATGAATACAACCCGTTACACGTTCAACTTCAAGAATGAGGTTCCAACACTATGAAGGAAACAATAGGTAGAAAACTCTATCCACGAAACCAAACAGATGCAGAACTTCCTCTGCCATGCCCAACAGCCAGATAGAAAGGAGCTCTTCCAACTGTGGCCCAAGCGGTGAAGGTTATGAAACTGCAATGAACAAGAACACAAAACAAGTAAAGACATGGCGACACAGGCATCGCTAATCATCAACAAAGTACTCCCTCTGTAAACGAATAAAAGACCCCACAAATCCACGGCTAAGCACGCAGGCCCACCCCATAAAAAAAGCACACAGGCCCACACGTCAGTGACTGCAAAACTTCAGATAGGTTGAGCGTTGGCCGAACCAGCCACGCATAAACTTGAACAAGACGTTTTAGATCACTACTACTCCCTCTGTAACTGTAAGTTCACAGAGGGAGTAGCTTGCAAGCGATGGAATGGATGGCGAGTTATATTGAGTTATTGACAGGAGCGAGAATGGATCAGGTTTAACTTACAGTTAATTGAAAAAAAAATTCAAAAAATTGCAGCAAACTAAAGATGATTTGAAAGAAAGCTCACCTTAAGCTTGTTGCTGCTTCTTGTCGAGAATTTTCTTCCAGCGCTTCTGATCGAGCATCATTGTCATGTCTTGCCAGCTGAGATGAGCAGATCACATGATTAAACAGACAGTTATTTATTTATTTTGAAAGGGGCAAAAGACTTGCCTCATTCATTGATTAAGAAGGAGAATAGAGTTAAGGTGAGGCTACAAAAACCGACTACAGAAATACAAATGCTGTTACTCTCCCGGCATCAAATTTCCAAAATACAGATGTGGGAATAGTCAGTCCACGAATATACACAAAAAAAGAACAGAAAATCCCCTTTATGCCACTAGCTTTGTTCCCAATCCAACCAAATCAATATTCAAACCGCATACCCAATCGAATGGACAGCACGTGCATTATGGTAACCTTTTTATAAGACATAATAATTTAGAAGGCAGATTTTATGAAGGCCACATAAATATAGTGGAGATCTCACAAGCATAGTGACTTGTCTAGAAATAAAAGGTTATTTGACAATTTTGACAATCAATTGGTAGCTCAACTAGCAAAACACCAGATATGTATAGTGGAAAATTTGACAAATGCCCCATCTTAGTTCGGCCTTCCACCCTTCCCTATAAATGACAACTTGAATGTACAACTCAAGTGTGCAAATCGCACATGCCTATCCCAGAATTCCAGGTGCAGACAAGCTTTTGCTAGTCAATAACACAAATGGGTGCCATCCTTCGTGTTTTCGTGGATTGAGACTTTGAATACTCATCTGTTCAATCCCGCCAGTCAAGAATAACCTCACTACTACTTAACATAATGAAATAGTTTTGCATAATAGTCCTTTTACCAAGAGCAGCAAATAGTTTATACAGAATGTTGATATCAAAACAACAAAATAGAAGTGGATTGCTGGGCTGGAGATGCTTGACCGTGTTGAAGACAAAGACAAGTGAATGGGCACATGGTGTAGAACAAGGAGTCTTGCGATAGGATTAGGGAGCATCCAGTCCTATTCAATGAAACAATGGACAAGCTCACAATAGGAAGCAAGGTCAAGGCGGTGTTCTTGAGCCTCAGCAAGTTCAATAGCATCACAGAGGGCTCATCCAGAAGTGCAACAAGCTGTAGGGGAGGTAGATCAGCTCTCCCAGACGGAATGGAAGTGGATGAGGAAAACTTAAAGAACTATGTGCCCAGTGCACTTGAGCTCAATAGAACAAGGTCACGATAGCGGTCGATAATTGAGGTTGCCAAGTACCACAGGTAGTGGAGCTGGAGATTATGCACCTTGAGAACGCAGGCTTCATGAACACAAGAGGTGACTCAAACTATAGTGCATGCCACTATGCAATGGGCAGGTGGCTAGCCAGAGGAATAGGTATACCATACCAAGCACACCTTGTCCACAACCATGGACTTTTAGAACATCACCAATATAGACTAACTAATAATCACAACTAGCATCTTCTCTGTAGGGTAAACTAATTTTCTACATCTACACATTTCAAAGGTGAAGTGCGTGGTATTTTACATGTACATGTATGTAAATACCACCTTTGTCATTGTTATAAACACAAATGCACTAGCCAGTATAAGGATGAGCTAATATTGTTTACGTTTCTTAGTACAGTATAACACAAGTTTTGAAAAGAGGTGCATTAGATACACCACCATATTTACATTAAATGGAAAGGATAAAATCACTTGATATTTGATAATGGCTTTGTTTAACTCGGCTGCTGAATTAAAGTTCATAGCAGCTTAATAAATAAATTTGGCAGCAGAGCTTCCTAATTTCTCTATCCAGTGTACAGATAACGAGACACATTCTGTAATTAAGGCTTGGAAGCCTATAAATCATAGCTCTCGGCAACATCTTACATATTTATGAGCACGATGTTGCTCACTCCACTTCAACTTTTCTGTTTTCCTTTCCTGGATAAATTTATTTCAGCGCACGCTGAAACTAGGGCGCTCCGTATAGTCCATCCATAAAAAAATCAAGTTCAACAGCCCCATGCACCCTTAACCTCATAAAAGGATGGACATAAGGAACTACGACAAGATTATTCATAAAATAATTTTCTGTGTCAATTCTTGTACCATTACTTAAACTAGTACAAAATTAGGTCCCATACTATCTGCAGTTTAAACCAGTCAGATACTATTAGCATGCATACACATAAATTTCACAAAACGTTGTATGGTAGTCATGTGGACAATAAAAATAACTATCAAACTTCACTAAAAAATGCGAGAGAAGGCATGTGGACAATCAAAGCCGAATCCGAGATTATTTTTTATCAGCGCGAAGTACATAGTTGACAACCTAGCAAGAACATAATTATAAGCAATGCTAAGGAAAAAAACATATCATGGTGGCATGCCACATGTGACCTTTGCATAGGCACACAATCTGGTCTGAAGCATACACCCAATTCTTCAGCCAAAGCATATACCCAAAATCCGAGTTGGATTCATACACTCTTGTTGAGTACTCCCTCCGTCCCATAATATAAGACGTTTTTGCAAGCTATGTCAGCTTGCAAAAACGTCTTATATTATGGGACGGAGGGAGTAACATTTTAGTTGTCCAATTTGTTTACCATATAAGACACTCCAGTCCATGCCATATTATAACACCCGTGTCCAAGTAATGCAAGTCTAAACACTGCCAGAAGGGCAGTTATTTATACTCCCTCCGTTCCTAAATATAAGTCTTTTTAGATATTTCAAATGGACTACCACATACGGATGTATATAGACATATTTTAGAGTGTAGATTCACTCATTTTGCTCCGTATGTAGTCACTTGTTGAAATCTCTAGAAAGACCTATATTTAGGAACGGAGGGAGTAGAAGATAAAGATAGCAAGAACTACTTGGGGCATGGCTAGGCTCAGCATAAAGAAGGTAAGGCTAAGGGGGTCTCAATTTACTATAAGCAGGGAGAAACATTTGACAGAAGAAAAGACCTCCTAGTCCCAAGCAAAGCACATCCAATGGAGATATCGTATCTGTTGATACAACCAGGAAGACCGCAAATAGAGCAGTGCTGACGACCAGGTCGACTACTACTTTCACAATTCAGATAATCTTTCCAGACACATATTGATTGATCATAAAGGTACCTTCAAGAAAATATATATCATTCATCCAATCTGGAAACCATCAGCACAATACGTAACATACATCAACCGAGCATTAACACCGTTCAAGCAGTGATCCTAAAAGCAGAATTCCCATAACCTGGTACTCCTAAATCGAGTAAGATGGGTAGGTAATTCACTGCACAATCAGTGTTCGGCCTTCAAGAACATATATATATATATATATATATCATTTATCTAATCTGGAAACCACCAGCACAATCAGTGTTCAGGATACCGGTAACTGGTACCATATCGGTCGGGTCCTGAATAGGGATAAATAGGCGAATTTTCCAGTTAATCGGCCAATAAACCACTGAGTAGCGATTAACTGACCGAGATGCCAATTAACTGGCCGATATTTGGGATGCACAATACGTTACATCAACCGAGCATTAACACCGTTCAAACAGCAATCATAGGAACAGAATTCCCATGACTTGGCACTCCTAAATACAGTAAGATGGGTTACATGGGTAGGTAATTCACTGCAGCTCTAGATATATAGATAGATGGATGCCAATTAATCTAAATCAAGAAGACAAAAAAACATATAAACCTAAGCATGAAGGGCGGTTGGTGATAGGTGCTGGGTAGGAAGACATGCCTGTGGGGAAGGGACTTGATGTTGGAGGCGAGGCCGGAGACGTGGTGGTGGACGCAGGCGGCGGCGCCGAGGGCGAAGGCGCCGGTCCAGGTGGAGATGAGCCGCTGCGGGTCCGAGTGCGGCACCGCGGGGTCGCCCCTGTACGCCCGCGCCCAGTAATCGTCGAACTCGCCCATCCTTCCCCCTGACCTTCTGGAAAGTTCTCCGCCCCTTTCGTCGGCGAGGAGGCTGCTCGGGAGGAAGAAGGGATGGATGGGGTTTGGGGGTGACGAGATTGGGCGCAGGGTGGGCGAGAGAATATTCGTGAACCCGGTCTACGAGATATCTGCCGTCCTGTGCTTTGCGATCTGTGCTACGGGTAGCATCGGTGCTCCTTACGGCTCGTTCGGCAGACACGTGTTGAAATTTAGGAATTCTTCATTTGGATTCAATTACCACCAGTCCTCGGAATTGTAAAAATTTGGATGTGTCAAGGGCACATCTAGATGTGCCCTACTTATTGCACATCTAAATGAGTGAATTAAACATAAAGAGGGAGAAAAAAGGAATTATCTACACGAATCTTAACGTAAGATCAATAATATAGGACTTAGATGTGCAATACTTATGGCACATCTAGATGTGCTTTAGCAAAGCTGTAAAAATTTCTTATAAATTCAACTCGTTTTACAGGAAAAAGATCAGTTTTGCTAAAGTACATCTAGATGTGCTATAAGTATTGCACATCTAAGTCCTATGTCATTGATCTTATGTTGAGATTCGTGTAGATATTTTCTTTTTCTTTTTTCTCTTTCTCTCTATGCTTAACTCACTCACTTAAATGTGCAATAACTAGAGCACATCTAGATGTGCCCTAGACACACCCAAAAAAGATAACCCAAAAAGGTGAAAAGGTCATCTACTTAAGGAAAAACTACCACTTGTTACAAGCATTGTATTTGAAGGCCTAATTATTAACAATAGGAGTCATTGCTAACACCCGTCGACAACATTTTCCTTCGTGGCGACTCCCCTTTACTCTCTCCCAAATTGAATCTATCACGTCGACATCAAGCGCCACTGCTAACTTGTCAATACGTAACAGGTCAAGGTTGTGGCGCCTCCACCTAGCCGAGGTGGAGGTGGACAAATCTTCCCTATTCTACTTTACTCCACAAGCGCGACAATTTTGTTGGGGGTAACGACTCCTGACACGGTAGTGGTCACGCCTGAACTCTAAGACGACAAACATTTGCAATGAAATTGATGTCGATCTTCATTTTTGGCTTAATTATCTCGATGTCGATTTTGTGTTGCATGTATACATGGGTGATACGAGTGCCCCCTCACTAAAAAAGTTATCGACATGATGTAGAAGAAGGGGTACTTAAGCCGCATGCTACACCATGGTGGCCGGCGCATGACCATATCATCCCCAAGCCCAAATGAGTGTAGATAATCATGTTCATGGATTTTTTGAAGTGTAGCCTTAGAATGCTACCTCCAAAGTTCTTCTGGGATGCGCTCGAACAAAACATCGAGTTGAATTGCGTCATGCGAAAGTAAGGTCATGCCCAATTAAACTTTCTTCCTTCTTTTCCAAGGAAAACTCATAGACATTTCCTTATTAAATTAAGTTCAAGTGATTGATATTATACCCCCTGAGCCAAAACTGTCATTCCAGAGGGGGGGGGGGTTAAAGAAGGGAAGGGATCCTTTCTTTTTTTGTTGCAATTTTGTCCTTTTTCTCACCCTCTTTACTCACGTATATGACGCATAGTTGGGAGTGAGGCCCTACATTGCTACCTTTTGCATGGTTGTGTCGGGAAGACCCTTCCCCCCCCCCCCTCAAAAGCAAGATTTGCCAGTCTCATACTCCGGCAAGGAGGAAATGGGAAATACAACCATACTAGTGTGAGTGAAACTGGTGTTGGTTAACCTAACCATCTGGATTTAAGTCCTAGACTTACTTGTGAAAATAGTCATGAAAATCAAGCTCACAACATATAAATGTGTCAGCAATCCTTTGAGAGAAGTTGGTTGTGACGCCCGGATAGTTACGCTACAGTAAACCTCTGCTTCATGATGCCACGTCACCACGATTACTGTTGTTAATTTTGCGATGATTCAAATCTCATTCAATTTCAAATTTAAAGTCAAGTCAAACGATTAAAGTTATCGAAAGTCAAAACTAAAATGTTCTTAATGTGACAAATAAATCATGGATATTATTGATGGAGAAACAACATCTTTATAAAATAATTAAATACCCTAAGATGATTAAAACAACAGCAAAAACAATTAGTTATACTCCTAATATATTTTACAAAATACTAAGCTATTTAGCTAGGTGCCAAAGTTGTTGTGGCAGTGGTATAATTAATGTTACTATGTTAGGTGCTAATTGGATATTTTACCAAACTAAAACAAATTAGGAAATAAAATTAAAAAAAGTAAAACAAAACAAACAAACAAACAAAAAAAAGAGAGAGGAAAACAGAACCCCCCTGTTCCACTGGGCCAAGTGGCCCAGCTGGCCCAGTCGGCCACACCACCAGGCCGGCCCAACCTGGCAAGGGCCAACCGGCCAGTCCACCCCCGCTCCCTTATCCATCCACCTACCGGAACCCTAGCGCACACCCCCCCACTCATCCCCCTCGCTCCTCCCACTCCCCCTCGATCTGGATCGGGGATCCGCCCCCGACGACTGCGCCTCGCGCTCCGACATCGGTGCCTGTCCCCGATGTCGCCTCGCTCCGTCATCGGCCTCCTTCTCGCCGTGATGCCAACGCCGCGTTGCCGCCGACCCAGGCGACCCCAACGCCCGCCTCGCCGACCCATCGCCGAACGCCATCGCCGCCGTCCTCTTCGTCGCCGGTGCCGCGTCGTCGAGCCCTCCCCGAGCCCACTTAGCACCTCTACAGGCTCGTGGTGAGCCCCTCTGCCGATTCCCCGCCTTTCCCCTTCGAGTTCCTCGTCGTAGGAGCCCCGCCCGAGTTAGGCCGCCATGGCCGGAGCTTCGCTTCGTGCGTGCATTGGCCGCGCTCCCACGCGCCTCTGGCCCCTCCCCGCGCCCGCTCACCTCACTCCCTCACCGCGCCCCGCGGCCCCCCCTGTCGCCGCCCTGCGCCCACGCCGGCGCCGACCTTGGCTGCTGCCGCTGCTCCAGTCGAAGCGGTGCCCCTGCCGAGCCCGCTCCTCCCTCCGTCCGCCCCTGTCCCGTGCGCCGTCGCAATCCCCGTCCTCCGCCCGGTTGGCGCCCGGCGAGCCCCGCCGTGGTCACCAACCCCCCCTGCTCCGGCGATCTGCCGGCTACGCCCGCCCCATTGGTGCGCCCGAAAGAGCGGGTGCTGGGCACCGTTGCGCCCGCGCCCGTTCGGGTGACAACCGCGCGGCCATGCGCCCGAAACCCGCAAGGCCCCCTGGGGCCAATGACATGGGGGCCCCAGCCCCAGAACGTTTTAATAAAAAAAACGAAATAAAAATAAATATATAATTAATTAATTAATTAAAAATTAATTAATTAATTAATAATTAAAATAGTTAATGAATTAATTAAGTTAATTAATCATGTTTAATTAAACTAATTAAGTAGATAGTTTAGTTAAACCCTAATTAGACTAATCAGTCAATGACGAATGGGACCCACACGTCAGTTGACCAGTCAACGCCTCTGTTGACTGCTGACGTCATGCTGACGTCAGCATGCACTGTTCCGAATAATGTTGAATTTAAATAATTAAATAAATCCTAAAAATGAAATTAAGTCTTTTAAAATTAATATAAAATAAACCGTAGCTCAGATGAAAAAACTTTGTACATGAAAGTTGCTCAGAACGACGAGACGATTTCGGATACGCAACCCGTTCGTCCGCCACGCATCCCTAGCATAGCGAACATGCAACTTCCCCCCTTCGGTTCATCTGTCCGAAAACGCGAAACACCGGGAATACTTTCCCGGATGTTTCCCCCTTCACCGGTACCACCTCGTACCGCGTTAGTGGCACACCTAGCATCACGCCTTGTCATGTCATGCATTTGTTTGCGATATATTTATTGTTTCTTCCCCCTCTTCTCTCGCTAGACATCGAGACCGACGCCGCTGCTACCCAGTACGACTACGGTGTGGACGACCCCTCTCTCTTGCCAGAGCAACCAGGCAAGCCCCCCCCCTCTTTGATCACCAGATATCGCCTACTCTTCTCTATACTGTTTGCATTAGAGTAGTGTAGCATGTTACTGCTTTCCGTTATTCCTATCCTGATGCATAGCCTGACCTTGCTACTACTGTTGTTACCATTACCTGCTATCCTACTGCTTATTATAGGATGCTAGTGTTCCATCAGTGGCCCTACACTCTTGTCCGTCTGCCATGCTATACTACTGGGCCGTGATCACTTCGGGAGGTGATCACGGGCATATACTGTATACTTTACACAGTTACATTACTTATGTACTGTTCGGAGATGGGGGCTGAAGGGGCAGGTGGCTCCATCCCGGTAGAGGTGGGCCTGGGTTCCCGACGGCCCCCGACTGTTACTTTGAGGCGGAGCGACAGGGCAGGTTGAGACCACCTAGGAGAGAGGTGGGCCTGGCCCTGGTCGGCGTTCGCAGATACTTAACACGTTTAACGAGATCCTGGTATTTGATCTGAGTCTGGCTACTGGCCTATACGCACTAACCATCTACGCGGGGACAGTTATGGGCACTCGACGTCGTGGTATCAGCCGAAGCCTTCGTGACGTCAGCAACGGAGCGGCGCGCGCTGGATTGGACTGGAACGCCTACTAGGCTAGGTCTGCTTCCGGCCGCCCATGCAACGTGCAGGTGTGCTAAGGGCGATGGGCCCAGACCCCTGGGCGCTTAGGTTTAGACCGGCGTGTTGACCTCTCTGTTGGTCTAGGTGGGGCTGCGACGTGTTGATCTTCCGAGGCCGGGCATGACCCAGAAAAGTGTGTCCGGCCAAATGGGATCGAGCGTGTTGGGTTATGTGGTGCACCCCTGCAGGGAAGTTAATCTATTCGAATAGCCGTGATCTTCGGTAACAGGACGACTTGGAGTTGTACCCTGACCTTATGAAAACTAGAACCGGATACTTAATAAAACACACCCTTCCAAGTGCCGGATACAACCGGTGATCGCTCTCTCACAGGGCGACGAGGGGAGGATCATCGGTTAGGATTATGCTATGCGATGC